CAACAAAATGAAGACAAAGAACCCAATTAAAAAATGGGCAGAGATGCTGAATAGACACCTCTGCAACCAGCACATACAAATTGCCAAGAGACATATGGAGAAATGCTCAACATCACTAATCATCAGTGAGATTCAAATTAAAAGAACAATGAGGTATCACCTCACACCTGTCAGAATGGCCGCCATCAACAAATCATCAAACAAGTTTTGGTGAAGGTGTGTAGAAAAGGGGACTCCAGTGCACTGCTGGTGGGAATGCAGACTGGCGCAGCGACTATGGAAAACAATATGGTGCTACCTCAAAAAATTCAAAATTGAACTTCCATTTGACCCAGTGATCCCACTTCTAGGAATATACCCTAAGAAGCCTGAAACACCAATCTCAAAGAATATATATACCTCCATATTCATAGCAGCACTTTTTACAATAGCTAAGATCTAGAAACAGCCCAAGTGTCCATCAGGTGACAAATGGATAAAAAAGCAGTGGTACGTATACACAATGGAATACTATGCAGTAAGAAAGACCTCTTATCCTTTGAGACGACATGGAGGGACCTGGAAAGTATTATCCTAAGTGAAACAAGCCAAGCAGAAAAAGACAAATACCACATGATCACATGATCCCACTTATATATGGAATATAATGAATATAACAGTATGAGGAATAGGGTGGACCCAGAAACACGGAAGTAGAGTACAGACTGACAACCCTTAGAAGATGGGGTGTTGGGAGGTGGGAAGAGATAAACCACATAACTTATATGCATGTATGCATAACTAATGGACATGGACAACAAAGCCGGGGATGGGGCGGGGGGGTTGTGGGGATGGATGTCAATGGGGAAAAAAAGGAGAAACATCTGTAACAAAAATAAAATTAGCCCTGGCCAGTTTGGCTCAGTGGTTAGAGCGTCGGCCTGCGGTCCGGAGAGACCCGGGATCGGTTCCCGCTAAGGGCGCGTACTTCGGTTGCAGTTTGTCCCCGGCCCTGGTTGGTCGTGCGGGTGGCAGCCACTCGATGTGTCCCTTCACATCGATGTTTCTCTCTCTCTCCATTCCTCTCTCTCCCTCCCACTCTATCTGTACAAAAAATGGAAAAATATCCTCGGGTGAGGATAAAAATAAATAAAATAAATAAATAAATAAATAAATAAATAAATAACTCAGAACTGACAAAAAATAAAGAAATAAATAAATAAACTACCTATATTACCCAAAAAAAGAAAAGAAACACTCACAATCCAATTACATGTTAATAAGAATTGATTTACCTAAAACAAAATGATTCAGGATATTTTATGTATTATAGGAAATAATTGGCAAATATTTGCAAAAGGATTGAAATCAAGTAAATATGCTGCAGTGTTCCACTATGATAGAACTCAACAGTTCTAAAACTCTCCCTGCTTCATCCATCAGAAAAAGTAAACTCTCCCTTAGTCCATTTTCACTCAAAATATCATTTTGGAAGTGGATCTTTTTTCTTATGTACTAGAAGTTGATTAAAGAAATTGCCCCTACTTATTGGATTGAGAGATAGCCATTACCTTAAGGAAGAAAGGTATGGTTTTTACTTTAGCTATGATTAAATTTTTTCTATTAAATGGTGCCAAACTAGACCTCTTGTAATAAAAATATAAAATAAGACAATATACATTAGGGGAATGATTTCTGGAAGTCAACAGGAAATGCAAAACTTTAATATCTAAAGAAAGAAAATATGATTGATTTTATGAAAATTCAATTTTACCGATGGACAATTTGCTGATCTCAGCAGAGAATTGGAGTTCTGGGTACACTGCAGCGTTTCACTGAGGTAAGGAGGCAAAGGACAGAGTTCACAGTAGCAGAAATGTTTGGATCTATGATCCATTTTAAGTTAATTTTTGAGTGGTTGTGATGTAGCAATCGAACTTCTTTGTTTTCCATGTAGATATCTACTTTTCCCAGCACCATTTGTTGAAAAAACCATTATTTCCCCATTTAATTGCCTTGACATCCTTGTCAAAAATTAATGACTGTAATTAACAAATCTTTTAGTTCTGGACTCTGTATTCTATTCCATTAAACTATATATGTTATCTGTACTCTTAGGACAGTAATTGCACTTCTGATTAGTTTAGTTTTGTAATATGTTTTGAAAATGAGAAATATGATTTCAGTTTCAAGTTTTCTTGAAATCCTAGTTTTCAATTTCTGCACGACTTTTAGGATTGGCTTGATGATTTCTGCAAAAAGGCAACTTGGATTTATTAATAATTGGGTTGAATATTTATATCAATTTGGGAAGTAATTCTCTAATAACAATATCAAGACTTCCAATACAAGCATTAGATATCTTTACTTTTATCTAGATCTTTTAATAATATATTTTACTTTCAGTGTATATTTATACTTCTTTGCATAACATTATTTTTAAAAGTTATATTATCTTTGGTGGTACAGAAAATGGAATTCTTCTAATTTATTTTTATTGTGGTAAAATGCTCAACACATAAAATTTATCATTTTAAACATTTTTAAGTGCACAATAGGTGGCATTAAGCACATTAACATTGTTGTAAATCCATTACCATCATAAAACTCCAGTCTTTTTATTGTGAAAGAAACTCTTTACCCTTTAACCATTAACTTGCCGTTTTTTCCCTCCGCACAGCACTTGTAACTACTGTTTTACTTTCTTTCTATGGATTTCATCATTCTACGTACCTCAAAAATGCAGAATCATTCAGTATCACATCCAGAATGTGACTAGCTTGTTAGTTAGCATAAGATCTTCAAGTTCTGTCCATGTTGTAATGTACACAGGAATTTTATTTTTTTTTAAAGCTAACTAATATTCCATTGTATGAATATATCACATTTTGCTTCCTCATTTTTCTGTTGATGGACATTTGGGTGTTTCCACCTTTTGTCAGTTGTGAATTATAATACTGTTATGGACATGGGTTTGAGTCCATGCTTTCAATTGATTTTTCATCTGATATATAATTTGCAAACATTTTCTCTCATTACATGGGCTACTTTTTCCCTTTGTTGATAGTGCTCTTTGCTGGAGAAGAGTTTTCAATTATGATGAATTCAAATTTAGCTACTTATGTTTTCTGTATTTTTGGTGCCATATCTAAGAAATCACTGCAAAAACCCAATGTTTTGAATATTGCCCCCAGTTTTCCTCTAATAATTTTAGTTTTCATATTTAAATTTCCAATCCATTTGTAGTTAATTTTTACATATGGTTTAAGCAACAGTCCAAGCTTATTCTTTTGCTTGCTAATATCTACTATCTCAATTTGCTGAAAAGACTGTCCTTTCACCCATTTAATGGTCATGGCATCCATATGGAAAATTATTAGACCACATATGTGGGGGGTTATATCCGGGCTCTCAATTTTATTCCATTGGACAGTTTCAATTTTTTTTATTTTATTGCCCAAAGTATATATCAACTTCCAAGAAGTTACAAAAAAAGCCCCTCAAGGTCAATTTCTATCCTTTTATTTTAGCTTCTGTTAAACACAACTGAGAATTCAGAAATTTTCTTTTACTGCCCATAGTGATAAAGAAAATTATATTGATGGAGGGAGACATTTTACAATTTGTAATCAGCAAATGCAGAGAAAATGAGAGCAGAACAAACTTTTCATTAAAAAGGACATACACATACCAAATAAACATTAAATATATTCAACATCATTACCCATTAAGGAAGTGCAAATTTAAACCACTGTGAGATATTATTACACACCTAATTGAATGGCTTATAAAGCAGTTGGTGAGGATGCCAAAAAACTGGGTTATTTATATATTATTGATGTAAATGTCAAATGGTCAGCAAAGTTGGAATAGTTTGGCAGTCACTTTTAAAACTATAAAAAACTTGCTACCAACCCTGCAATTTCACTCTTGGCATGTTTCCCAGAGAATTAAAAATTTACTTGTATGCAGAATCTTCCACATGAATGTTCATTGCAAATCTATTCATAATACTTGTAGCTAAAAATTGGCAACCAACCAAATGTCCTTCAGTGGATGAATAATTAAATAAAGTTTGATATATCCATACAAATAAATATCAATCATCAATAAAAAATAAAATATATAACAACAAAAGTGCCAATGATGGAAAGACATTAATGAAATTAAACTCTTATGAGATTTATACATTGTGAAGTTTAGAAAAATCAAATAGTCTACATTTGTTCATGAATGTGCACCAAGTAAATGGAAAAATATTTTGTACCATCTACTATCCATATGCTAGGGGTGTGAAAGATTTTATTATTTTTACCTTTCTATAGTATAGTTAACTTTAAAAATGCAACTTAGGCCCTGGTCAGTTTGGCTCAGCCATTAGAGCATTGGCCCGTGGACCAGAGACTCCTGGGTACGGTTCCCTCTAAGGACATGTACCTTGGTTGCAGTTTGTCCCCAGCCCCAGTTAGGGTTGTGTGGATGACGACCACTCAATGTATCTCTCTCACATGGGTGTTTCTCTCTCTCTTCCTCCCTCTCTCCCTCCGGCTATGTATGAAGATAAATGCAAAAGTGTCCTCAGGTGAGGATAAAAAAAAAACGAATACAACTTAGTTATGAACTAGTATATCACAATAGTTAACATCCTTGGAATAAGACTATATAATAAAACTATCACCTATTATGTAGTTTAATAATACCAATCTAGAAAACTCTATAAAGAAATAGAAATTTTGTGTAACCATAGTTAAAATTATATAGAAACCTATTAAAATGTGCACATCTAGATTTAAATTAAAAGTATATACAAATCTTGATTGACAGTGTGATTTAGCACTGTCCAACAGACTAGCCACAAGTGGCTATTTAAATTTAAATTAAATAAAGTAAAATAAAATGGAAATTTTCATCCCTTAGTTGCACTATCCACATGCCAGGTATTCAATAGCCACATTGACAGTGGAGATGTAGAACATTTCTGTAAGCACCGAAAGTTCTGTTGGAACACACTGATTGAGATACTAACTTTTGCTATCCCAATACCAAAACCCATCATATAGACTTCCTCCTGGTGATGATGGTGTTGCCTTACAATGTGGAGGAGCATATCCAGGATCACAATGACAAACGTCTTCATCGTTGCATACCTAAAACCAAAACAAAATAAAAATTAAGAACATTATATATACAATATAATGTGGTGTTGGCCAAAGGAGTGGGAGGTGGGAGTGGGTGAAAGTGGGCAAAGGAGGGAAATTGGGGGACTTCAGCAACAGTGTCAACATTAACATTGTTTAATCAAAACATAAATAAAAATTAAATGCAGTATTTGTTATTGTTGGTCAATATACATTATTCAAGTATTATAATTTAGTATATTATAGGTATAGTGTTTATTTTAATGTGGAAAATAATTCTTAAATAAAATGTGATAAATGTCCATCTTTTCAGATGTCACAGAGATTTCCTATTATTTGTCTTTTGTATTTTTAAATAAAAGCTGATAAAATTTATGATATAATTGAAATATATTATTCTAGAAAGGCATAGAAATGATGAGGGTAAGTATTATAAAATTGTGGAAGTTTAAATGTATTATGAATTGTGCTAGATAAAAGAAAAATAGCTGTGAGGAGAGCTAACCTTCACCAAAAAAGAATGAGAGGGAAAAAAAAGAAAGAACTTGCTTAAACAGACACAAATAGCAAAAGTTATTTTGCTAGAAAATATCTATAAATGTGATTTGGTGGATAAATTGAAAGATAGGTTCAGAAATACAGCAGAGAATCTAGAAGTAGGTTTGTGCAAAATTTTAATTAAAATTAAAGTTTTTTCTTGAATTACTGTGGTATAGTATATGAAGCATCAGTATGGCAGAAGTCACTTGTCACAAATTTAAAGCCATAGGAATGCTGGGAAAACTTCCAAACTTTACAAAATTTCAATGACTCAGTGGATAATTTCACAATGGATGGGCAAACAGAATGCAAATGGCAAATATGATCATATATGCACACTTAAGAACTATATAATTAATTATTAAATAAATGCAAATTAACAGTGGATTTACCTTGTTAAAATAGATTAAAAAACTGAGAAACTAGTCTGGTCAGAATTATAGGAAAGCCACCTTTTTATACATGATAAATGGGAGCAAAAATTGGTATATTATTTCTTGAAGACAGTATTACTGAAAATTTTAATGGTGCATACATTAGGCCCATCAGATTTTATTGCTAACAATATAAGAAATCAAATAAATATGCAAATATGAATGTACAATGATCATTGAAATCATTGAACCACTATTTACAAGAGTTAAGTAAACCAAAATTCATTAGTGAATGACTTCAAATATAGTATGAATCAGACATACAGGCAACTTATTGAGGCCATTCAAGGGTGAAAAAAATCAGAATAGACAAGAAACTCTGCTCTCACAAAAATTTTAGACTATAAGAAATATGTGTAATATAAATGTATTGTACATGTTTAAATATATATCAGTAACATACACTCAATTATAAACAATTTTATATGTATGCATAAGTGTATATATATACATATATACATAACCTTTAATAAGTCTACTTCCAAAATGTTACAATCTTGATCTAATATTATAACAATATATATTTTATATTACATTTTCTACAAAGTTTAAAGCTTATTTACTCATGAGACCTGTAACAATCTGATTAAACAATCTGATTAATTCATGTACATATATAGAATATATATATATATGGAAACTTTCCTTATTTGACTGTAATTTTCCATAAGAAGTTTCTACATCATATAATCATAACCTGATTATTATCCTGAAAATGTTATTGACATAAATTTTTTAACTATACATAAAAATAGAGTAATTATTATATACCCCATGTCCATTGCAGTGTCTTGTCGAATTACATGTTGTATAATTTTTGTTGGCACTAATGGGCTGGCACGATCCCCGAAAGCAAGCCTACAATTTTATAAACAAGAAATTAGCATTTAAAACATGAAATGTAGGGAATTCAAGAATTATTCTTGGTGCAAACAGATGCACAAGATTTGTATGTACAGGAGTGGGCAAAAGTGGGTTTATGGTTGTTCACATGGAAAAAGACATGCAGGTTACAATTATTTACATATTCTTGTAGTCTGTGTTTTGCATACTCACAACTGTGCCCCTATTTTTGCCAATCACTGTATATGTAAACATAGGAATCTGTTGAATAATAGTGGTGAAAGTAAACATTCCTGCCTTGTTCTTGATCTTAAGGGAAATGCTTTTAGTTTGTGTACATTGAGTATGATGTTGGCTATAGGTTCTTCATATCTGGCCTTTATTGTTGTTGAGGTATGATCCCTCTATTCCCACTTTCCTAGAGATTTTATCATAAAAGAGTGCTGGATTATATCAAATGTTTTTTCAACATCTATTGATATAATCATGCAATTTTTGTCTTGCATTTGGTTTATGTGAATATTATACCAGCCTGCATCCCTGGAATAAATCCCACTTGAACATGGTGTATGACTTCTTTAATGTATTGCTGGATCTGATTTGCTCAACATAGTACTAGAAGGTCTAGCCATAGTAATCAGACAAGAAGAAGAAATAAAAGGCATCAAAACAGGAAAGGAGGAAATAAACCTGCCATTATCTGCTGATGATATGATTTGTATATTAAAAAACCCTAAAGACTCCACTAAAAACTACTAGATCTAATAAATGAATTCAGCCAAGTTATAGGATACATAATCAACACCCAGAAATCTATTACATTTTTATACAAAAATAATGAACTCGCAGAAAGAGAAACTAAGAAAACAACTCCACTTACAACTGCAACAAAAGAAATAAAGTACCTAGGAATAAACTGAATGAAGGAGGTAAAAGATCTGTACTTGGAGAACTAGATGACATTGAAGAAAGAAAACAAGGAAGATACAAACAAGTAGATGCATATATTACATTCATTGATGGACAGAATTAACATCATTAAAATGTTCATACTACCCAAAGCTGTCTACAGATTCAGTGCAATTCCTATTAAAATACCCATGACATATTTCACAGAACTAGAAAAAAATATTCCAAAAATTTATATAGAAACAAAAATGAAGCAAAATAACTTCAGCAACATTGAGAAAAATAAACAAAGTTGTAGGAATTACATACGGATTACCAAACTATGCTACAAGGCCATTGTAATCAAAACAATCTGGTACTGGCATAAGAACAGGCATACAGACCAAAGGAACAGGACAGAGAGCCCAGAAATCAACCCATGCCTTTATAGTCAATTAATATTTGACAAAGGAGGCAAGAGCATATGATGGAGTAAAGATAGTCTCTTCAATAAATTGTGTTGGGAAAATTGGATAAGTATATGCAAAATAATGCTAGACCATCAACTTACACCATATACAAGAATAAACTCAAAATGGATAAAAGGCTTAAATGTAAGGCACAAAACCATAAAAACTCTAGAAGAAAACACTGGCAGTAAAATCTTACATCTCTCACAGCAATATTTTTGCCAATATGTTTCTGAAGGCAAGGGAAACAGGAAAAGATAAACAAATAGGATTACATCAGAGCACAAGAAACCATCAACAAAATAAAAAGAGAACCCACTGTATGGGAGAACATATCCACTAGTTATACATCCACTAAGAGGTTAATTTCAAAAAATATATTTTGAGCCCTGGCCAGTTTGGCTCAGCGGTTAGAGCGTCGGCCTGCGGTCCGGAGAGACCCGGGTTCGATTCCCGCTAAGGGCACGTACCTCGGTTGCAGTTTGTCCCCGGCCCTGGTTGGTCGTGCGGGTGGCAGCCACTCGATGTGTCCCTTCACATCGATGTTTCTCTCTCTCTCTCCCTTCCTCTCTCTCCCTCCCACTCTATCTGTACAAAAAATGGAAAAGTGTCCTCGGGTGAGGATTAAAAAAAAAATATATATATATATATATATATTTTGAAAAGTATACAACTCAACACCAGGAAGACAAATGATCCAATTAAAAATGGGTGAAGGACCTGAACAGGTACTTCTCTAGAGAGGACCTACAGATGGCCAATGGACACATAAAAATTTGCTCAGTGTCACTAATTATTAAAGAGATGTAAATAAAAACTATAACGAGATATCATTTGACATGTGCCAGAGTGGCTACTATCCATAAATCAACAAACAATAAATGCTGGTGAGGATGTGAAGAAAAGGGTACACTAGTTCACTGCTGGTGGGAATGCAGACTGGTGCAGCCACTATAAAAAACAGTATGGAGTTTCCTCAAAACATTAAAAATAGAACTGCCTTTTGACCCAGCAATTCCACTTCTGGGAATATATCCTAAGAATCCTGAAACACCAATCAGAAATAATATGTGCATCCCTATGTTCATAATAACAGCATTATTTACAATAGCCAAGATCTATAAACAGCCCAAGTGCCCATCTACAGATGAGTGGATAAAAAACTTGTGGTACATTTATACAATGGAATGCTATAAAGCTGTAAAAAAGAAAGAAGTCTTTCCCTTTGCGACAGCATAGATGGACCTGGAATAAGCCAGTCAGAGAAAGACAAATACTATATGATTTCACTAATATGTACATAAAATAAACTGAAGTACAAAAGGGAACCAGAAGCATGGAACAGACTGGCTGGTGTCCAAGGGAAGGGGAGTGGGGGTAACTGAATAAAGAGGGTGAAGGAAATAGCTAAAGAACATGTATGCACACCCCGTGGACATGGACAGTGATGGTAATGGCCAGGGAAGGGGGAGGCATTGGGGGAGGCATTGGGGCTGGAGGAGGGCAAAGGGGAATGGAGGGAGATTCCTGCAATATTAACAATAATTTTTTTTATTTAAAACAACATATAACTCTGGATTTTATTACATGTATTCAGTCAATAAGATAACTTATTTGATCAAATATGAAATATTGAGAATTAGACAATTGAAGCGAAATGGACAAATATCTAGAAACACACAGTCTCCCAAAAACGAACTGGGAAGAGATAAAAAACTTGAACAAACCAATAACAACAAAAGAAATTGAAGATGTAATTAAGAAACTCCTAGCAAACAAAAGCCCAGACCCAGATGGCTTCACAGGGGAGTTTTACTGAACATTCGGAGATCTA